CAGCTAGATTTATTTTTAGATTATATCATTAGGAAAAATGATTGAGACTTTTTAACCGCCAAACAATTTTGGCTTCTCGTCTACGAGTCATAAAAAGATCATAAATACTGCAATTAATTTATTTTTGTTCTTAATTTAACCTTTAGTACATTTTCATTGTTTGCTGCTAGCATTTGATGCCACATTTCCGGCAGAAGGATTTACGATACAGAAACTATTTGCCCCGACTGCCCCGAACTTTCTTATTTGTCCGTGATCGAGCAGCCCATGCAGAGGTCGACTTGTCGGAACAAGATTAGCTTCATTATAGGCGAGGCATGATTTACAGCCTCCGATAAATTGCAGCCGTGTGACAAGTATCGATTACCTTGGCAGGTCAGACATACGAACAGTTGCGATTGACGGATAAGTTCAGTAATTGACTCGTAAGAGCAAACCTGCTCGATCTCAACTAATGTGACGAGACGCAATTGTGTTCGCATTGCTGAAAATCTTGGACGGATTAGAGGCGGCCAAAGCCTGCCTGCTATGAGTCACTCTTTGGGTTGTGATTATAGCATGACAGCGTGACAGTAACGCTATATGTCGCCGTATTGTTAGCGCTGTAACATTTGTGTGTACGAGGTACACGCTGGCGACCATTGATCAGGCTGCTGTAGTGCCCCCTCTTTGATACACACGCACTGGCCCCCACGGTGTCTCACTTTTTCACGGCGCGATAATGCATGGCCTCTGCACTATTTTTCTAAATTAAGCTGGAAAAATAATCACATTTTTTATAATTGTTATTTGATTTTATCCACCTGTTAAATCCGCATTAAAAATAAGTTGATGAAACTTTTCAATTAGCACAATAAAATTTACTCACATCACTGCACATTTATTCCAATACTTTTTTCTTTAAAGACGAATCACGAAAGAAATTAAATTTCAGTGTCATGGCCTTCTGTTTTTCTGTAAATTTGACCAGGGTTAAATTAAAGCTTTAATATCTTTACGATTTTTATTTATTTTCTTGTTAGACTCAAATGTTTCATCGTCGCAATATATTACTTTCACGCACAATTTTCAACAGCTGTGTGATTTTTCCCTTTACATCAGAACTTAGCCTTGAGAAATCGATGACTGAACTTTCCAAGGTTATTATTTTAGCAACAGAAGCTTGGAGAACCTTTTGTGATGGTCATTGCTCTTATGTTTTATATATCTGCACCTAAATTAATAAGATTGGTTTTACTGTATGAGAAGTAAATTTGGTTAAGTAAAAAACTCGAACATAACGATGAAAATATAAACATACTTTGTTCACCAATTCTATTATACTATCGTTCCACTTTCCGCGTCATTCGTGCCAGTTTCTGCAAAAAAATAAAACGGAATATCTCTATTAACACGCTTCGTTCTCCAGTCTCACTATTAAAAACTTCAAGCGCTGACCCTGGACTAAAGTTCGAGATCGAACTGAGATTGGGATTCATCCTTGAGTGAAGTTAGTTTTTTTTTATTGAAGCTGATTGATTTGAGTCAAGCCTTGACCTACAGTCGTGTTGTGGCAACTCTTGACCTGCAATTTTGTTGACTCAAGCCTTGACCAACAGTCTTGTTGTGGCAACTCTTGACCTGCAGTTGTGTTATGGCAACTCTTGACCAGCAGTCGTGTTATGGCAGCTCTTGACCTGCAGTCGTGTTATGGCAACTCTTGACCTGCAGTTGTGTTGTGGCAACTCTTGACCTGCAGTTGTGTTGTGGCAACTCTTGACCTGCAGTTGTGTTGTGGCAACTCTTGACCTGCAGTTTTGGTGCTGAAATTTATGACAGGCAGCTCTTGACTGTCAGCTTCAACCATGCAAGTCGAGAACATGAGTCGCAAACATGCAAATAAAAGCAAACAAAACCCATAAGACGTCATAAGCTGCAAAAATAAAGCATGTGTTCAGTACAAGCCTCTGCAAAGCTGCAGTGCATAAATCTGCATCGCCGGTGACAGAAGGAAATATGGGTGCGACGGCGTCGAGCTTTGCCGCGCTACTGAAGAAAAATGCGTCCGATGTAGCCAGCCATTTGCGCCCTTGTCGAAACGCATGTAAAGCGCCCCGCAAGCGCTGCTGTCGCTGCGAATTATTCTCTACTTCTAACGCAATCAGAAAAAATCGTCTCCGAGAGGAGAATATTTTGTACTGGGTGCTTTCTTCGAGGGGAAAATGAAAACGTTTCTTGTTATCACAAATGTGCAGAATATATCAACGAAAAACTAGCATTTGAATGTGTTAAATATGCCAATCGTTTTATATGTTATTTTAGAAACTAAATTAAAATTATAGTACGAAGTTATTTGATTTTTTTCTTTTTTGTTCACTTCAAAAAATGTGATGTATATATTTTCTTGCGGAAAAAGTTATGGAATTATATATTTTTCTGTCAAAAAACTTATATCTTTTCTGAATTTTTGAAAATTTATAAATTAATTCAGGAATTTCGATAATGATTTAGTGCTTATATTAGGTTTCGTTGATTCCCAAAATTTAAAACTTTTGCATTATCAATCTGCGACAACTTCCGGCTAGTAATAACAGTGATGTAACGTTATTTTGCAGTCCACTTCTTCTCCGGGAAAAATTCTAAAAATATTATCAGAAATATTGTGTAATTAGACCGAGTAATGTGACAACACCTTAATTTAAAATGAGAGTATGCATTCATATGAATTAATATAAACTAACTTGGTTGAAAAATCATGTAGTGAAATGTCTCTGTTTCTATTGTTAAAATCATCACATGAATCAAGCAATTTCATCTATCTTGTTAGATAAACTTCTGTTAAAACATTGATTTGCCAGTCATTTCAATATTGATAATAAGTTAATCACTTATTTCCTGACTCTCACATCTGCTTTCCATGTCAATGACTGACAAGAAAATTCTGGAATTTTCAATCGGTAACATGATGTCAATATCCTAATGGCATCGATGCAAGCCGGGCCGAGCGTTAACCTAATATGATTACTTGTCGAATCTTTGGTATTTTTGAAAAAATTTTAGCATTACACCAAGTTACCTGGAATTGTTTGGTTATTCTAGGTATACGTGCTCTTAAATTACCAATAGTGATTTGGCCAGATTACAGTAGTTGTCAAATTACTTACGACGCCAGAGTTTCTGAATTTCTAATCAAATAAGTTAAATTTAATTAAAAAATTTTCAACTGATAGTAAGCGTGTGAAAGTATAATATGGAACTTTCTCGTGATTTGGAAAGTTAGATATGTTTCGGTTGTTATTTGGGTGTTGAAAATTACACAAATTCAATCAAAATAGACGATCAGCAGTAACACTTATTTTCCTTTTCCAAAAATATGAGTTTTACAAAACGAAAAGTGTGAATTGAACATTTTATGAAAATGTTACCATTTGTTCGAAATTAGAGCAGTCTGTGTACGGTTGTCAGGAAATAGAATCAAAATTCTACATATACGAGATTTGGGAAGTTCGATATACTGTCAGAATGCGACAGTTTGTTCTCGACTTTCTAACAGCCGTTGCTAGTGCATGAGATGAACGATGATTGAACTGTACGAGCGTTCCTGTCTCCAAACGATTGATGGCCGAAAAATGTATTCGATGCAACGAAAATGGCACTTGATATAAATTGGCTCAAAATATATGTGCCCATAATAAACATGTATTGGTGAATGTACGTTATAATAAGCATAATACTCAAGCGAAAAATTCAATTTAGACACGAGCTGTAACACCTAAAGCCAATACTGGGAGCGAGTTTGACTGCGTTCGAGTGGCCGAATTACAAGCGAATGTTTTACCTGATTTTTTTTTTCTACGTACACATTGTAGAGGTCTTGATTCAAATTATATTTATTGTTTGAATATTAGGCTCAAACCAAATATTTATATATGCGTTGTATTTTTATTATTAGAGTTGTGTTAGAATTGTACGAATGTTGTAGAGAATTTTGGAACCGAGATCTGAGATTGCTTGAGAAAAGTAATAGTATGAATTTGGATGGGCTTCAAAGCAACGTCATGTGTCTCGTGATGCTTATCCCAGTAAACTGAAAGCTAATCGCTGTTTATTTGTCAAGCCATGAATGTGAACAAGTGCCACAGTTCTCATGTTTTAGGAAAACTCTTAATATCAGTTTACGCAAAATAAAGTGTTTTATTTGGCCTTGTTAAGTTGATCAATGAACTCGTGGGCCGTGGGCTTCACTATATCCATGACTACATCTGATTCGTCTTTCACGAATCACGACTAACGATTCATCTGATTCATTGACTTTGTCTGCATATCGTTTTTTTAAAGTTGACGTTATGGGACAAACAAATTACAACCACTAATTTAACGTAAATTTCTGATAGGTCAAAGTCTGTATCAAAATTTAGGTCCATTTTATTATTTTTCACTTAGGTTGTCAAATTCGATAACAGATTGGCTCCATAATTCGTAAAATCTTCAGGCGTTCGCATTGTTTATTCGATGCACGAATAAAAATTGGCGACTTCGCTCTATGACTCACCAGACAAAATCCCGCTAATGCTTTAATATTATTATTTTCAACTTCCAATTTATTTTCTAAGTTAACAATATTTAATATTGCTCATTATTTTAAATCAACTGAACAGTTTAAGACTTGTGTTGCGTCTAGCCCATTATAAGAATTTCACTTTTACCATGAGAACGTGGGGTATGAAAATTTTTTCACATTACTATCCAGAACTCAATGGATTAATGATTTAATTAGTTGTTATTATTCTTTGATTTAAACGCCTGCTTGTATTTAATGAGCTCACACAGTATTATTAGCCTATGTTCACTGGCAGATTCTCACTATTAAATAATTAAAATTAAGAGACTGTGTGGATTTGTCTTCTAAAATTGTATCGTTTTCTGCTCTCAATAATTATTTTTTAGCTATTTCCTGCTCTTTTTATCTATCAATACTTGTTTCTTAAATAAACCATGACATGTTCTCTCTCCTTCGACAGGTCCTCAGTTCTGGGGCCTGCTGAACATGAACTGGAACATGTGCGACAAGGGCCGGCGTCAGTCTCCCATCAACATTGAGCCCAACAAACTGGTGTATGATCCTCACCTTCGCCACGTGCATGTTGATAAACACAGGGTAAGTCCGTGCAAGCCGGCGCTGCTGCGTCTTGAATACGCAAGCTCTTCGTAGTCGGGGGTAAGGGTAGACAAGGATGGTTAGCTGAGAGCAGCGTGAGATGAGGCAGAACAAGGATGGTTAGCTGAGAGCAGCGTGAGATGAGGCAGAACAAGGATGGTTAGCTGGGAGCAGCGTGAGATGAGGCAGAACAAGGATGGTTAGCTGGGAGCAGCGTGAGATGAGGCAAAACAAGGATGGTTAGCTGGGAGCAGCGTGAGGAGAAGCAAGGCTAGGTAGCTGGGAGCAGCGCCAGGCATTAAGCCTAGCTGGAGAGAAGCAATATAATATGAACCAGTAAAGAAAATGATCGAAGACTACGGTGAAATATCAGTACAGGTTGGGCGAATGCAAGACAACGCGATATTATAAGTAGCAGAAACTGAATCAATTTAAGGTGAGTACGTAGTAATAGAGATGAGCAAAGAGTTTTAACCATATTCGCCTAATCAGTACTCCTAAAATAGTGGAAAAGAAGCTGATTCATAGAGTATTTATGGTATCACAGAGCATTTACAAGCTCTTTAAAATATTTCAGCCTGCTTAGTCCTCGATTCTCTTTCTGTGTTCCGTGCTTATCGTAAAAGGATCGTTCCTTAGAAGTCCTAAAAGCGTTTGATCATACAGAGTATCAAGGAATAACATAGCCTTTTTCCACACAATAAATGGTATTAGAACTCGTTGAAGTATTCGCGGCTTATGTATACAACCCAAAAATAGACATTCCTATAATCGAGTGCGAGAATTTGATTAAATTATTTGTATTTAAAATTTTTCCGAGACCCTGAAGGTTTTCGAACATCCCGATGCACGAACGCAGCAGAATTAGGGAGATAAAAATAGTAAATAACTTTTATGTTCAATCCCGATATATATTTGAATTACAATGAATTTTTTGAAAAGCATATGTTCCAATGATTTATTGATTTATTTTAGAGTAAGTTCCCAACATTATTGAGCTAACACAAATTTTATAACATTTTTAGTTTCATGTTTTTGCTCCTTCAAAAAGACAAATTTCATTTTTCAAAAAATTCTTATGCAATCGCAAAAATTCTTTGTGAAGGTTTCCGATTATTAAATGAGAACAAAATCAAAATCAAAATTTGCTCCAAAAAAGGCAATTGATTATAAGGAAGTGTGTTTTCCAGCATAAATTCTAGTTCAAAATCGTATTCAAAACTTCCAAACTCGTAATTATTTCTTCCCAATTATTCATATATGGACCTAATACATAGAATTTATTAAGTTTTAACAGAACTTGTGTTCAGACTTCAATCAGGATTTATGAACACTCGTTTCTTGCAATCGTGCATTAATAAAATTATTAATTGAATAATTTCAGTCCGCTCTGCAATCATTAAGTATTTACTCTATGCGACTCTAAAACATAATGTCAAATTATTTCACGAGAAAAGATATGATTGCTGTTTGAATGACAATATTTGTCTTTAATTCATTCAAACAAATTGAAATATTTTGCAATATATTTTACATATTTAGATTGAAGTCCCCACTTAAATTTAAAGAGAAAATTCATTGATAGGGGAAACCTCTTGTAGTGAATTCTGTTTGAGCCGCAGCGCTTATTTGTATAATTATTACTCAATATCTGTCTTAATACTCGAAATTGTATGAAATACCTCACGTACCCGTTTCCCGCTCGAAATTGATGTTGAGAAAAATCTATTCAGTGTTGTTATTTAATTCAGTTCGACTTGACGAAACCTCATGATTCTATTGAATTTCTGCGTAGCAACTAAAAGCCATTCATCTCTAACGGTCTGACACAATACAAGACGTCGATAATTTGTGTCTGTCGAGATTGCTACGAAGGAAATTTTGACTCGAGTTTGCGAGTGAAATTGAAGACGAGTTTGAGAAGCGGAAGTCCGACATGCGATGCCTTCATCTTAGACGTTCTCTTTCAGGAAATAATGAACCAAATCCAAAATCCTCAATCTATTGTTTGCTAAAATATCTTACGTTGATCAAAGTCTTGTAATGTTGTTTAATACGAATTATACATCAGTTTTTTTAGAATACACTTGATCAGAAGGACAAGAAAATGTAATTCGTGTAACTAATGTAAAACCGAGATGTAGAATTGGTCTCCTATTGTCAATTATTATTGTGGAAAGTGAGAAGGAATCATTTAATGAATGCCGTCTCAGGGGTTGAAGTAAAAAATTGTTTTGATTTCTATTTCATAGATTCCGCGGAATAGTTGTTTCGATTTCTTGAATGGAAATCACCAAAATAATTGGCTGGTATGATGGTAAAATGGTTTTGCAATCAAGTTGTGGCAGGGATAGCAAGTAAATTTGTTGTGGTAATTCTCTTATAATACGTGGCAGTGAATCGTTTCAATACTTTCCATGATGCAATAGCACTTAAATTGCTTGAATGACTAATCTCAAAAACATTTTGTTCTTCGGACAGACAAAATTTGTTCAATACTGTATAATAGCTGTAAATAATGCCATTACCGGAATATAATATTTCAAATTTTTTGCTAAAACTTCAATTTCATGGACACTTTTACTATTCCAAATGCAATATTAAATCTTCATTATTCATTTCGGTAGAAGTAATCGAGTTATTTCTGATTGTATATTAGGCTACTCATTGTGAGACAAATTTGATTTTTCCGCACGTGAGAAAATTTGAAGTTTTGTTTTTCTCTCAATCTTTTTTCTCTGAAACACATAAAAATCAGGTTCGACGTCGGGGCCAGCGTCTTGTACATTCTCTTTAATGTCCGCACTTAAAGTCTAATTTCTAGATCCGCTATCTCATAACCGATGTAATGGAAGCTGCCATTAAAAGAAGGAAAGACTCTCGCGATGTCCTTTATCGGAACTCAAGAGATAACACGAGTGGATTCCAGACTTAAAGTCGCTTTTTTGAGAGCCGTTTAGCGGCAGGATATAGGCAAGAACTCGGCCCTCAAATGCCACAATGAACCTTTATCAGTTGCCAATATGCCTGCCACTTGAGCCTATAGTCTTGATACTTTGGCTTTCTTAACTGAAAACTGTTCTTCGTTATTGCTATTCCCGAGACTCTACTTGTCCTCCAAGTTTTATTGTCCCGGTAGCTGTAATTTGAGAATTTTCTTGTGAACCTCCAGGCGAAAACTGCGAACGCTACGTGCCTGTTTGCTTGGCTGTTCTCTAGTTCCATCCTATTGATGTATATAAAGTGTTCCATGTATCCTAAAACTACTAAAATTTTCACGTTTTTTTACTTTAATATTTTGCAAGCAGTTTATTATTTTTAACGCACCATTTGATCTTTTGATTCGTTTTATGTTTACAAAACCATCGGTAAAAATTTCTCTCATAACTGAGCGCTCGTTCATTTGAAAGATTTAATGAAGCTTTTTATGTTTAAAGCCAACGAAGGAACATAAAGACTTTTTTTAAGAGTACCTTGCAACCACCAAAGAATGTTTTTCGAATATTGCCAGAAAATTTCCAATTGTTTCGACACATGCCAGGTAATTGAAAATAAAAGGCATTAATGCACCATCCAGTACTGATATCCTATTTAAAATCAAATTATATTCATAATCGATTAAATTTTTTATGTTTTTAGAAATTTATAGCATTCATGACACCTTTTTCCGATTCCGTCTGAACTTTAATAGAAACAATGGTGAGATTTGACCTTTTTCTGCAGCCTTAAACTTTAAACGACCTTTTATATATATTTAATTGTGTCGGACTTGATGAATGAATGAAGAATGAAAAATTAACTCTTATTTTTTGAATTATTATGGTCGGTAAGTGACCTTTTGGCATGCCTCTATTCGTCAATGCTTTTTAAATGAGCCGGGCGCTGATTTTCAAAAGGAATTTTCTGCATAAGTATTTAATATTAATATAGCTGCTATTGAAAGGGACAATTTTTATTGATCGAGTGTCAAATACTTCACTTTTGATCAAACACTTCAACTTCACTGCGTAAATACAAAGTCTCGACAAAAAGTTGCATGTTGTTGTTATAACTTCTCTACAAAGAAGGTTCTTTTTTTAGAAACTATTTTACAGGTAATTCCCTGGTTGATGTTTTTTGTAGGTTTATGATAAAATATGGCAATTATCGATAAGGTTTAGAGGGAATGTCACCATATAATAAATAATCATAAAATGACATACGTATAATGTCGAAATTTCAAAAAAGTTGGAAACACAATCAGGTATTGAACCTCAATCTTTTAAAGTCAGTGATTCAGTTCATAAACTTTAAGTGCACAATATAATGAATTTCAACGAATTAATTACAAAAAATTGTAATTCATTAACAATCCCCATAAATTTACCGTCTAACCAGAAGAGAAGCACAGCCGCTATCAATCGGCAGTCAGCGTCTACGAGCGGAGCGTCGGCATGACAAAACCTCCCCCGCGGATATGAACTGTCATGGTCGCCGAGAGCTGTGTCGCCAACTTGTCTGATGTTTCCTTTCATTTTATTTGAACTAATTTAAGTTAGTAGGAACTCATTTCAACTTACAACTCGCGCTGTCTTCCGCTCACGCTTTATATTACAATCCTGAAAATAGGAGCGTGTAAGTTCTGTCATGGTTGTGGACGAAAATTATTATCAGATGCTCCAAGAAAGTGATAAATTTTCTGTTTTGTTTCTAACGAATTACGGTGGTAAAATAAATCATGAATAAACGGCGTAGCATAATCTTGCAATTTGACATCAATTTAAAGCTTGGCATGGAGAATGCCAAGCTTTAAATGAGTTTTGAAACTTAGATACGTTATTAATTCGCGACTTAGTTTATTGAGAACATTATATTTACCAAGAGATTAACAATATTTTAGATCAAACACCCATTTATGCAATAAAAATAACGACTATCTAATTAGATTCGTACCGCACAAGAACAGCCGACTTATGTAAAAATTTTATGTGTTTTAAGACGTCAAAGTAACAGTTTTTAAC